GAGTGTAAATTAGTTCAGCCATTATGGAAGACAGTGTGGCGATTCCTCAAGGATCTAGAACTAGAAATACCATTTGACCCAGCAATCCTATTACTGGGTATATACCCAAAGGATTATAAATCATGCTACTATAAAGACACATGCACACATGTGTTTATCGCAGCGCTGTTCACAATAGCAAAGACTTAGAACCAACCCAAATGCCCATCAGTGATAGACTGGATAAAGAAAATGTGACATATATATACCATGGAATACTATGCAGCCATAAAAAGGATGAGTTCATGTCATTTGCAGGTACATGGATGAAGCTGGAAACCATCATTCTAAGCAAACTATTGCAAGGACAGAAAACCAAACACTGCATGTTCTCACTCATAAGTGGGAATTGAACAATGAGAACATTTGGACACAGGGTGGGGAACATCACACACCAGGGCCTGTCGTGGGGTGGGGGTAGTGGAGAGGGATAGCATTAGGAGATATACCTACTGTAAATGACAAGTTAACGGGTGTAGCACACCAGTATGGCACATATATACATATCCTCATATGCTTAAGTTACATCAATGATAACATGTTTTCTGAGTTCTCTAACTAATTTTATAATAATCAGTTGTATTTCTCTAACATTCCAGGACTCATATTTCAAAAGCAAATTTTAAATTTATATAAAGTATTCACTATCTTTTCTTTTTTCTTTTTTTTTTTTTTTTGAGAAAGAGTCTAACGCTGTGACCCAGGCTGGAGTGCAGTGGGGTGATCAAAGCTCACTGCAGCATTGACCTCCCAGGCTAAAGTGGTCCTCCCACCTCAGCCTCCTAAGTAGTTGGGAATACAGACACACAATATCATGCCCAGATTTTTTTTTTTTTGAGATGGGGTTCCATTATGTTGGCCAGGCTGGTCTCAAACTCCTAGGGCTCGAGGAATCCTCCTGTCTTGGCCTCCCAAAAGGCTCAGATTAGAAGTGTGAGCCACTATGTTCGGCCTATACACCATCTTCTAAAAATACAGGCATTAAAATGTTTTATAACACATCTCAATTTTCAAATCAAGATGATAAATTATAAAATGTAATTTTACAGTAGCAGAAAAAAAGTAGCAATATCTATTTTAAAAATGAATTCTGCATTTGCACCTAAAATAAATAAATGACATCAATAAAATATGTAAATAAAAGATTTTCTATTAAATATTTCTATTATGCTAGTAAATATAATTTCAATGTACCACTCGATGTGTAGAAGTTTTAACATTTGCAATCATAAAGACTAAATAAAAACTGGTTAACCAAAATTAATATACCTAAAAGAAATAAGGTCATCTGGTAAACTGGCCATTTGGTAAATTGGCTACCACAGTTTTTATTGTGAGGTGCTTGTAAGATCTGAAATATCACCAAAGTAGAATAAATAGCTTCTTTATCTAATCACAATAGGCAGAGCAGCTGTTTATAAAAATGCATTTCAAAATGTTCACCACCTCTTTCTCAGAATTTTGCAAACTGAACTAGCATTTTTTGCCTCTTTTTTAACAGACAAAAGTGGCAGTATTTTAAATTTTAATATATTTTTAAATTTAATATTCAAATAAAATGATATGTTGTTCCTAGTTATATATAACTTCTATATATAAAACAAGACATTTAATTTTTTAATACTCAACTTTCATCTCATACCAGAATCGAAAGGGGAAAGGCCAGTACAAAGAGTTATTCCTGGGTCTGTGGTAGAAAAAAGACTTGGTTCCAACTGTGGAACTATTTCTGAGTCATGTTTTTATTATCTATCCCATAAAAATATTCTACTTATGAATATAAGGTGCTGACATTCCCCTGTCCACAATAACAGAAAGGGAGAACCAAGGAGAGAAATTAGATCAGGATTATGGTTTAAGTGAGGTGTTTATTGAAGACAGGTCTAGGCCTAGAGTAGTAAGACTTTGGACAGGCAATCATCCAAATAAATATTCGTTAAAAATGTACTTGGTTTTTATTAATGGGAGCAGTTTTAGTTAATGTTTACTACTCTAGTTGATAGATGTGAAAGAAATCCAAGTAGAAGTATGTTAAAAAATAAAGAAAAAGATATTTGATATTATTTCAATTTTCTTAAATTTGTTAAGATTTGTTTTTTGGCCTAACATATGAGCTATAGTGGAGAACACTGTGCTTGAGAAGAATGTGTGTTGTGTTGCTGCTGGATGGCGTGCTCTATGTATGTCTGTTAGTCTTTAACTTTTGACAGTTTAATTATAATGTGTAACATTATGAATCTCTTTGTTCTCTTTGACTCTTTGTTCGGAGTCAAACTATTTGTTCTCCGGGCTTCCTGAATTTGTATTTCTATTTCCCTCCCCAGGCTTGAGAAGAAGATGGCAAAGTGCAGCCAGGGTATAAAAACGCCTCTCAAAACAAGTTGGACTATGCTAAAGGGCAGAGGAAAGGATAGTAACTGGTGTAAGATGTGTGGCCTGGGCTCTGTTTGTGCTACAGGATATACTAATGCATGAGAAAAAGAAAACACGGGTTTTCTACCCCATCTTTGCATGCAACTTGAAAGAGAGACGAGTAGAATATCGAAAAGAAAGGCTTGAGGTCTATGATGAGCAAGGTGACTAGAAGAGAGAATCCAGCTGATCTAAATGGTTTCAAATTCCCAGGGAGAGGTACACCATAATTCAGAGTGCTAAAAGAATTTATCATCGAAATGCCATATTGTTGACACCAAGTCTTAAAAACATACAAACACCCAAAGAGTAAATCTGGGAAAAATGTTCTTTCAGTTGTCCAGAGTCAAAGATGGATTCTGCAGAGCCGTGAGCTCAAAATCGATGACATTCAAAATGCTAGCCTAGATCATTGAAAGCAGGGTGTGTAAATGTTTTCAAAAGGAATACAAAATCATCAAGCCCCAGCCTGTAGTCACTTAGAATAAATTGTGTAGATTTTACTTTAATTCATTCTTTGATAGAGCACTAGACTAGCAAGCCAAAAAACTGGGATACATGCCGACGAGTTTGATAAACTACACTCCACAGGCAGAATTCAGCTGGCTGTTGATTTTTGTTTAAATCATGTGTTATCAGAATAAAGCCATGCTTATTTGTTTACACTTATTTAAGACAGTGTGGTTCTGTTCTGTCTCTCCCTTTCTCTCTTTCTCTCTCCCCTTTCAGTTATGGACTGAATGTTTGTGTCTCCCCCAAATGCATATGTTCAAGTCCTAACCACTAATGTGCCTGTATTTGGAAATGGGGCCTCTTAAGGAAGTAATTAAAGTTAAATGAAGTCATATGCTTAGTGCTCTGATCCAACAGGATTAGTGACCTTAAAAGAAGAGACATCAGAGAGCTTGCTTGCTATGTCCCCTCACACTCACAAACCAAGAAAGGCCATGAGGACATAGCAAGCAGGTCTACAAGCCAGGAAGAGGCCTCACCGGGAATCTAATGGACTGGCACCTCAATCTGAGACTCCAAAACTGTCAGGAAATACATTTCTGTTTCGTAAACCAGTCAGTCTATGGTACCTTGTTGTCATAGCCCAAGCCAACTAATTCATTCTTTCTCAACCAATGAAGAACTGAGGCCTCCAACCAGATTCTCAAGCCCCAGACAAGCATTCAGCTGACTGAAGGCCTGGCCAACATTTTACCTGAAACCTCATGAAAGATCCTGAGCCAGATCACAACAACTAAACCCCTCCCAGGTTCCTGCCCCTCAGAAACTGTGTGAGAGAAGATTTTTTTGTTTAAGCTAGTAAGTTTGAGTTTTTATTTCCTATGAATCATGTTTATGAACCTTACAAATAAATCCAAGACTAGCTCATTTGTATGTCTACTCTTTCTCCCAGATCACTTGTAAATCTCAAGTTGTTGAGAATAAAAATATTTAGGACATAAATTTTAAAATGCTTCAAGTCTCTTTGTCCTCCACTTTTTCTTCCACGCTGTCAGCAGTTTTTTGTTTGTTTGTTTGTTTGTTTTACAATACAAAATTTGCCCCCATTGCATTCCTACTTAAAATCCTCTGGTGGCTCTCTATTATCTACAGTTCAAAACCCAGACTTTTCAGAAGTGCACACTATTTTCCTGCATAGCCTGACTCCACATTTTTCCCATGCATCATTCATCCTGGCTGTAACATACCCAGATTCCTGTTTCGCTTGATAATAAGCTCTCTAAGAAAAGGGACATAGTCTCATTCATTATTGTTTCTCCATGGCCCAGTATAGTGCCTTGCATATGGTTGATGCTAAATTAATTTTTCTGTTCAGCCAAAATGATCCATCTTGCTTCCTCCAAATTTTTTCCCTGTCTCCATCTACCAAAAAGCTATTATCCAATCATCACCTTTTGACATCAGTGTCATCTCTCCTCTTGATTCCTAATCTTATATAAATAGCATAAGGTGTTCTCTACATATTATTTATAGCATTTATATCATATTATAAAATTATGTTTACATTCAAGTCTTCCCCAGTGGACCTAGGATGCTTGTCATTGTTCATTTTTCTTGGCCTTAAGGATTGTTGAATCAAACTGGAATCCTTAGCCCTATACCTTGAAGCTTTGGATTCAAAGATCCAAGTCACATTATGTCCTGAGTCTCCTTATATCAACCCTCTTGACCTCACTGAAACCCTCCAATTTAAATTCCTCATTTTCTCCCTGATTTGGGCAACACTATAATATTATGCTTCTCCAGGTGGCATAACTCCTTAGTTTTGACTAGTTACCTCCTGTGGCTCCCCTATAAGACCATATTCCTGACTTAAATATCAACCTAGAGAACACAAGCCCAACTTATATTCTTCATTGACACTATCCCTCCTCCCAGGTTAGAGAGCCATAAGAGAATCAGAGAGCCCACTGCCCATTCCCCTGGTTCCCAAGAACTTACCACTGCTTGACTTTCAGCTCATTCACTGTGGTCCACCCACCAAATTTGATATTAGATACCAGCTGTAGCTGCATTAAAACTGAGCCTGTTAGTACCTTGAACAATAGGGATGTCTGGCCTTGTTCGGTGGAGAAGTCAACCATTATAGTCAGATCTGCTTATGTTCAGCTCTAAAGACAAGAAACAAGGCCATTTCCTCTCCTTTTTTCTTTTCATCCACAAACTCTGAGCTGCAAAAAGCACAGAAGATTGATCATGCTTCACACGAAGTTATCTCAAAATTTGGCAAACAAGTCTCAGCGAGGCACTTGACAAAGCCTTTTCTGGCATTATCACACATACAAAAAAAGGCTGAGATATAAGTAATATGCAGGAACAATCAAGTGGACAAATATACAGTTAAGTATTCATACCCAAAGGTACTGAACAATGTGCTATGTGTCATTCCGGAGTTTTCTAGTCACATGTCACATAGCCTCAGTCTTCAGTCTTTCCCCATTTAATGTTTTAATCCCTACTTAGAATAACATTATAAACTTTATTACCTTTGTTCACATAGCCAAGTCACTGTAAATGCATTAGAGAATGGGATCATGATTCCATAACATCTCTGAATGTTAAAATAATATGCCATATATTTTCAAGATAAAATTTAATTAGAAAAATGTAAAATCCTACACTTGAATACATGTTAATGCATTATTTCAAGTTGGAGACTATGATTTAACAACAGACCTTATGAAAAGAGTAAAGGGTTTTCATTATATACAGTTCCCTAATATGTAAGTACTTTTGTTTGGCTCATGATTTAATTTGCATAGAAGAGACTCTAATACATAGCAGGCATTCAATACATATTGCTTGAATGAAGGAGTCAGGTACAAGTTCCAGCTACTACAAAAAGCCATTAATAGCTTAGGCTGCATTAATAGAAATACAAACAACAGAACAAGGGAGGAGACAGTCCTGTTCTGCTCTCTATAGCCAGACCACAGCTATATTCAGTTTATGATCAGTTCTAAATAGAATACCTTGGAGTGGATGTATAAAGCCAGATCACTCAGAGGAAAGTTGCCAAAGTGACAATGACACACATTTTGCAGCAGAAATCCCAAAAGAACATGACTCCAAGTGAGGCAGCAGGGTGACCATCTTTAAATGTACGAAGATCCATTTATGGGAGAAAGGGTTAGCTTCATACTGGTGGTGCCAGTGGGCAGAAATGACACAAGTGATGGGAAGAAAGAATTCAGAACAACATAAAGAAAGGGTATTTTAAAACTAAGACCTATTTAAAGATGCCAGAGATATCTTAAGAACTAGGGAGTTCCTACCTTTGGAAGTGGTAATAGCCACTAGTCAAAAATGTTAGAAGGGGGAACAAGAACATCATAAATTATCAGCCTGGAAAACATTTAAGATACCTCCAATTCCTTATTCTTCAAATGATTTCAAAATAAGATAATATCAAAGATGAAATAATGTTCTTCTAACTCACAGAAACCATGGAAAAGTAAAGTAAAAAATGTAAGTTCACTTATCAGTAAGTCATACTTATCTCAAGAATATGGGCCTGAAGAAATGTGATGAATTAGAACAATATAGTGATATGAATGTAGTTGATTTGCAGCTGATGTTTTCTCTAAATATACTTATAAAGAAATAGACAAAAATTTAAAATATTTTATTGCAATGATTTATTAATCTACCAATAAAAATGGTAATGAAGATGATAAATTTATAAAATATTTATGTAAAAAGTGACCTTGGCTGTTAAGATATAATTTAAGCCAATTCTTTTGTTTTGGTTTTGGTTTTGGTTTTGAGACAGGGTCTTATTGTCAACCTGGCTGGAGTGCAATGGTATGATCACAGCTCAGTGCAGCCTAGACTGCCTGGGCTCAATCAATCCTCCCACCTCAGCCTCCTAAGTAGCTGATACTACAGACATGTGCCACCACGCCCTGCTAATTTTTATATTTTTTGTAGAGACAGGGTTTTCCATGTTGCCTAGGCTGGCCCTGATCTGCCTGCCTCAGCCTCCCAAATTGCTGGAATTTCAAGCGCGAGCCACTATGCCCAGCCTAAGTTAATTCGTTATTAAAACTCTCCAAAGTGTCTGTCTAGAATCTGACTAAACACATATAGTGTTGAGATATTTATAACCTCAATCCATTTTGAAATCAGGTATAATTGTTAGAAATTATTTTATGATATCCATCCTACTCCTGTCCTTCAGAGCTTCACAAAACTAGTCCAAACCTTGCCACACATTACCTTCTTGCAAATAATCACAGATAGTAAGTCCCTAATTCATTCATTCTCCAAGTAAAATATCTTCAATTCTGTCTTGGCTATCCCCAGACAGTGCCCTAAAAACACACTCACTGCCTAGCCATATGCACTCTTCAATTGGACTAAAGAACCTCCTGGGGTGAGTTTTTCCGCACAGAACACAATACCCTGGAGAGTTCCTTCCAGGATGAGGTTGAAAAGCTCTGTTCCAGTCTTCACCAAGGATAGTCAACTTTTATTGTGGAAGATCACAAAAAAATACCCTGACATATTGAGCATATTTTCAACTCTTAACTAAAATACCTCTCACTAATAATATAAATCATCCAATTACCTGGCAGTGATCAACACAAGGAGTTATATTAGTGCAAAACGTCCCCAACATATTGTTTTTGAAAACATGTGAAATATAACTGAACCAGTCAATAATGTGTTGCAGGCAAACAATATTATCCTCATTTACAGAAGAGACACAGATTAAAGGGCTTATTCAATGTTACATAGTCAAGAAGAAAAAGAAATGCGTCTAGAATTATCTAAATCTACTGTGCTACATTTTTCACTTCACCATGCTTCCTGTATGTTTTCCCTGATCTCTATCTATAGCATAATTTGTAACAAATAAAATTATCCATAGAGTAGTACAGAATTAGAGTAAGAAATAAGTTTACTTTTTATGTACTTATTGATTTTTTTAAGAAAGTGTCTCACTGTTATCACCCAGGCTGTAGGGCAGTGGCACAACACAGTTCACTGCAATGTTGACCTTCTGGACTCAGTGGTTTTTCCCACCTCAGCCTCCCAAGTAGCTGGGACCACAGGCAAGTGCCACAACATTCAATTTAATTTTTTGTTTGCTCGTTTCACTTTGTAGAGATAAGTTCTTGCCATGTTGGTCTCTAACTCCTGGGCTCAAAGCAACAGGTTTACAGGCATGAGCGACCGTGCCCAGCCAAGAAATAGGTTTAAACATAAACTCCATTGCTTGCATTTTACCCTCCTGCATACGTCTTTAAAATATCAAAGAAAAGATTTGGGGCTTGTTTAGTACTTCCCAAAAACAAGATTCTTCTTATAATATTTTAAAAAGAAATATAATTAATTAAAGCTGACTGGTGATTTTTCTTAAGGGTCTAGAATGATGAGAATAGCATTTTATGCTAAGGCTTTAACATGATAAACAAAATAAGAATAATTATGTGGTTGAACTAAAAATTATGAACTATAGATTCAAAATTTATTAGCATTGACCTAAAAGCCATTTAAAAGATTGAAAGTGATACAGCTTTCAACAGCTTTTCAGTCACTTTCCAGAAGAGAATTGACAGATTCCTTAGAGCCATAAACCTATGTAAGCAGAGAGGGTTCGAGTGAGATCCTGCCTGACACAGACTGCCCCTGTTGACTGGGCAAGTAAGAGGAAGGTCCCTGAACTAGAGAACTCAAGGAACTTCATATGTGTAATTTTTACACCACCCAAAGGCCCCAAAAGTCCTATTTTTTCATAAGCTCAGAGACATGTAGGTGCATCTACAGTGATTTTTATTCATTTCTGAGATATGTTGTGGGATTATGTCACAAAATTCACTTGATAGAAAACCATATTCCCTCTGAATTCACTGAGATATCTGGATCTGATTCTGCTGCAAACTTATAGAGGAAAAAAAGTGCAAATCTGTCATTTCCACATAGTAAGTATCCCCCAAGATGCAGCACTCTAGTCGGGTATGTCAGGGTGACCGTTGTGGTTAGGAAAAGATGCTTACTTTATAATACAATTAGGTAGAATAGCTCAACCTCTCACCTTCCTGGCTGATGACATAGTCCATGGTCATCTGAAGGTCTGGCATTTTACCTTGTCATATTTTTACTGCATTCTCTTTCATTTTGTTCTCAGGAGCCTCATTTGGCCCTATTTGTCCTTGATTCACAGTGCACAACCTGAAAACAATTTCTCGTATAAAATATTCATTTGGCTGTGGAAGAAAATGTTTCCGTATAGTTTTATTCTCTCAAAGAAAATTAAAGAAGACGCACTCTTGTTCTAGAAGTATTTAATCACTGTTCCTCTAAAGATGAGTAGCTTGCAACAACCACAGCAATTTATTTCCCCCAATTTATTTTGGAATACTTTGAAATCATAAAAAGAGCACTGTATTTAAAATCAGAATGTATGACCTTGAATCCAGTCTCTGCCACTAGCTTGCTAAAAGTACCTTCACTTCCCTATGTTTTGTTCTCTTTTGGGTATGAAAACAATAACCATTTTAGAGCTATTGTGATGATAAAATTAGACAAATCACATAAAAACAAGGAGGCACTCATAATGTGTGAATTTTCTACCTAGAGATATACTTTTTGTGAATCAGGCTATTGACTTTGTAAATCCTCAGAATTCCAAACACGCTGTATGTGTTCATCCTAGAAAAGTTATTATCCAGGGAAGTAAAAGCCAATACAGTAACAGATAGTGATAAAATCTCTACTGAGTATATTATTTTTATTAATATTATTTGGTTGATCATAATTGTGTACATTTAAGGTGTACAATGTTATGTTTTGACATATGTATGCAATGCGACATGACTAAATCAAGCTAATTAATAAAACCTTCACCTCACTTATAGTTTGTGGTGAGATATTTGAAACTTACTCAGCCATTTTGAAATACACAATATATGATTATTCACTACAGTCATCTTGCTCTCCAGTAGATCTCAAAGCTTAATACCCCTGCCTAAAAAAAAATTGTACTCTTGACAAGCAACTACTCAATTATTCATTTTGTTGTATATTTTTGCACCCAGATTCATCAGGTATATTGGCCTATAATTTTCTTTTCTTGTAGTGTCATGGTCTGGTTTTGGTATCAGACCAATACTGGCCTTACAAAATGAGCTTTGAAGTATTCCTTCAACTTTTTTGAAAGAGTTTGGGAAGGATTGGTGTTAGTTTTTTTAATGTTGGTAGAATTTAGCAGTGAGGACTTTAGGTCCAGGGCTTTTCTTTGTTAGGAAATGTTTGATTA